TCTAATACCGGGTTGCCTGTCATTAGAAATGTTATCATGGTGGACATGTGCTTTCCTTGAGCTCCAAGAGAAACTAATCACTCCAGTTTCTCTTAAGAATTTCAAAAAGTGCTAGCAAGAGGCACCAGCTTCTTTCCATTGGTACAATGGCAAGCCTGATGCCCACTCCTGAGAAATTTTCTCTTCCACTGGAGAGAAATTCCACCTGTCATAAGTTAAACTTAGTAGATGTGGGATTTAGCCAGCGTAACCCAATTGAAAGTTTTGTTGAGGAGGTTTCATTTATGCTTTTGAGTACTGTATATTTTATCTGTAACTACAAAACAACATCCAAACATTTTCTACAAAATTTCTACAAAACATTTTCTACAAAATGTTTGGCTGTTGAAGTATGGTTTGGGATGGTGACCTATGTACCTTAGCTTGCTACTTCTCTTACTCGGTGAAGCAGTAACCTGCTTTAGATTCCTTGATACAGTTTTTCATTACTGTTAAAAACAAGTGTGCCACTCCCTTCAAATCTTATTCCTTCTGTTTTATGAAATGCTAGGTCTGCTCCTAGAAGCATTGATAATGCATACAGTTTGAAATTTCAGTATTCAAATACTGACAGCACCTGGTACATGAGAACCTATTTAAGTTGATAAGGCAAAGCTAAGTGAATCAGATTATGTGTTTCCTAAGTGTACTGAATAAAATGGTGTGTAACTCTTATACCCGCATTGCTCTTTATGAAAATGTCTGAGAAGATGCTTTAATTCCCACTTGAAAGTACTAGAATTTACATAAAAAAGCATAGAATTCTTAAATTAAGAAGGATATCACCAGTTAGCTAATTGTCCTGCAGGATATTTAGGTTGCCAACACCTTCTTGGCAGAGCTGAGCATAGAGAAAATGCTAAAGATAGAATGAGAAGTTCACTATATGGGATTTCTTTTTTCTGGAAAACCAGAATGGGGAGTGATGTCAGACCTTATACTGATCACTGGGGGTGCAGAGAACCTCAGTCTGAGGGACAGTACTTCTTGTGCTCTTTCCTTGACTTAAGAGAAATGTGTTAATGAATCATCAACAAAACTTCTTTAGTCCCAGGACTTTTACCAAAGACTTCACAGGCGCATCTGCTTTTGCTGAGGCATAGCAGGAAAGTGTTGGCAGGATCAGAGCTCAGGGAGTAGCACTGCAGGGCCTGAGCCTTAGTGCTTGTGTTGCTCCAGGCTTCCTTTTATTTAAGAACAGCAGCTCTTTATGATTAGCTGGTATGAGGTAAGCATGTTATAAATCTGCAATTTTAGTTGTTCTGGAGAGTTTCTCCAGTGGTTTTGGACAGTTTAACTGGAAAAGTGCCTTACAGGGGAAGACTGGAAAAAAAAAAAACAACATGAGGAGACTGGAATGGAAGATGGGGCAGCTGGTGTGAAAGAGATTTCACAGGTTTTTATGTTGCATGGCATGGAAGATTCATCTGAGCTGTCTTTTCTCTGGAAGGCACTTTACATGGTTCAAAAAAAGAGCCATCCCCTTACATGGGATGTGACCCTGCATGCTGACATGCATGTTCTTTCTAGTGTGCCTTCCTCTGAGGGTGACATGCCTCCTTCATGTGATCCTACCATACAGGCTGGACTTCGTGTTCTGAGTCTGACTGCACCTTAAGTTCCACCTGATCAACCCATGCTTTCTCTGGAGACTTTTCAATCATTTCACATCTCATTTAAGGTTCAGCAAGATACAGAAGCCTTACCAGCTTGAAATAATCCTATTAGTCTCAATGGGCTTGCTCAGATACTCCAAGCTGGAAGGCGCTTTGCTAGACTCTAGAACACGGCATGAGGAAAATGCAGCTTTTGTTCCTTTTGATTCCTTAGAAAACTCCCCTTGGCTCTGAGGAAAACTTCAATCAGGAAACATTTCTAGGAACATTAAGAGAACTTTCAATTAATAAACATGGACATCATAGGGCGCCATTGCTTAGGATAAGTAGGTGTTGTTAGCAGTCCTTGAAAAATCACAGTTTTAAGTATTCCAATTCAAATTAAAATGCTATTGGTACTTGCAGTTGCTGCACAAGAAAGAAGAGAGAAGCAATAAGATGCTTAAAGGCTGGATTCCTACTGATGTTGATAGGAAAACTTGTCTGCTTCACAGCAGTCTGGTCTTGCCCACTTTTCTATACTTAGCAGAGGAAACAAGTACGATGGCCTGAATGCTGCTGCTTGGGATGTGCAGTGTATATAGGCTTTTTAAAGTCAGAGCCTGTGTTTGTTTGTAAAAAGCATTGCAGGGCTGATGCACTTTGGATTGTGCACAACGCAAGTTTAGCTCCTTAAGCCCTTACCTATCTCATACCAAACTGCGTTCTGGCCAATGTCACCAAACTGGAATAACAACATTGTAATCCTGCTCAGGTCTTCTAGGTTTTAACTATGATTGTTATAACCAGGTTGTTAGGGAAGAGAAAGAAGACAAGGGATAAAGGAGACATGCTCAGAATTCAACTAGGGTTATGAGGCAAGCTGTGGAATTAAGTAACAAACACATCCTGCCCCTTCTGTGTACCTCTCATTATAAAAGCATCCTCACCTCCCACAGTCAGAAAACTAGTGAACTGCCTGCTTTCCTGAGGGCATCTGTTTCCTTCAGGAGCTGAAATAATCTCAGGCCTTATGACCATTTGGGTAAAGGAAAAAAGTTCCTGAGATCTTTGCTGAGAGGTAGCAGAACTTCAAAAAAAACGAATGGCAGCAGGAAGAAAATACACTGCAAGTCACAGGGAAATTTTATCTAAGGCCCTGCCACTTATCTATTGCTTCTACAAACTGCCCCTGTCTGCTGGCTATGCTGAAACCATGAGAGAGCTCAGCAAGTTAAGATGAGAGACCTGCAACTCTAGGATTTGTGCGTGAAGGCTCTGAAGAAGTGGAGCATGGCTGTGTCCTTCCTGGTGTCTGGCTGCATGCCTCTACAACATGCCAGAGGTTCCCATTTCAGCTATATGCAGCAGTAATGGTGGCAGCAGTGTGGTTTTTGCAATGGTGACAGAGAAGCTGCTGGCTGTTGGATGCTTTAGGACTTTTCTGTTGTACCTAACTGGGACTGGAACTCCCTAAAAACCTTGTCCTGTGTGTGGTTAACAAGTGAAATCTGGCTTTCAGCTCCACAATATAGTGATCCAAGGCAAATGCTTTACAGAATTGTCTGTAAGCTGGTTTTTACAAAAATATATCATGGAGCATTTCTTTCATTAGCTACGACTGAAAAGGCATTGATTTATTATATCCCAAAGTACAGTGAGTCATCACCTCTTAAAAATCTTCAGTCTGATTCAATAAATGATTCCTTATGTTGGGCTAGAACTTTCAGTTTTATTTAGAATATTAACTTGGTAAATAAATGTTAGAACCTTTTTAATGCTTTACATAAGAAAACTTAATCTCAGGGTTGTAAACAGTGCTGCTGCTAATCAGACTGGAAACACTTCCAGCTGGCATTTCTGAAATCTAAATGAGTCCATTTTATCTCTTCATCTTCACAAACCTCTCATTGTGTTGCCACTCCAGAAAAGGAGAAAAATAATTCTGGCATCACTTCCAAAAAGACCATGTGTCTATTGAAAATGGCCTAGAGATAGCTATAGACACACTGTTTAGTACAATTTTTATCATTATTTTTGATACAGATTCACCACAAATGGTAGCTTGCAGCAAAATCTGGTTTTGTACTGACTCAGATGGAATCATAATCATCATCAAATCATCATAGAATGGCTTGGATTAGAAGGGACCTTAAAGATCTTTGGAAACTTTCAACAATAGCACATCTCTCATGCAGTGGAAAGCCACAGACTTCCCTGAGCATGTCTTGCACAAACTCGGTGTGTCATGACAGTGACACTGCCTGGGGTTGGATACGTTCTTTGTAACCTTGTAGTCCTTGTTGGGGATATGTGTATGGGATAGCAGATCGCCAAGTCTGCCACTCTGCTGATGATGCCACCCCTGTCATGGGCAGGAACACCTTCCACTAGACCAGGTTGCTCCCACACCCCCATCCAGCCTGGTCTTGAACACTTGCTGGTATGGGGCAGCGATAGCTTTTCTGTGCAACCTGTGCCAGTGTCTTACCACACTCCCAGTGAAGGACTTCTTCCCAATATCTAATCTAAATCTACCTTGTTCCAGTTTAAAGCCCAAATTACCACATGCCCTGTTACTACTTTCCCTTGTAAAAAGTCCCTCTCCAGATTTCTTGTAGTCCCCTTATAGGTAGTGGGAAGATGCTCTAAAGTCTCCCTGGAACCTTCTCCAGGCTGAACAACCCAAACTCTCTCAGCCTGTCTTTGTAGAAGTGCTCCAGCCCTTGGATCATCTTTGTGGCCCTTGTCTGGACTAACTCCAGCACATCCATGTCACTGTACCTATATATGTATCACCACCTTCACAGTGGTGATGACACAACTGCTAAATCTAAGCCTAACAAATGCACCCAGTGTCATTATCATATATGTAGATATTGAGTAAGCAGAACACAGCTTTGAACTGATATTTTTGTGAATGTGGAGAGCATACTGAGGAAATAATTGTCTTGACTGATGTCATGAAGTCTTGCAGACCCTTTGTAGAAATACACTGTTGGATCTCACAGTATCTTTTGATTTACAGCTTACTCCTGTCTAGATTCCTTAGTTATGTTACAAGGTTGAAGAGCAAGGCAGAATATGAGCCTTTGTGGGCAGATCAACGAAAAGGAGCAGTCTATGAGATGAACTATGCTATATAGAGCTAAGAAGAGCCAAACTAGAAGGGCTGAAATTTCCTAATGTTTTTACAGGACAAGTGAAGAATCTAGTCAAGCTCTGGAACTACTTATATTTTAAAGGGCTTAGAGATGCAAGAAACCAGTGAGGGGCCTGGGGAAGAAGTGATGCCTCAAGGAATGGTGGGAAGCTAGGGCTGTTTAACAGATGAAAACACTAGCATTTTTGCCACTTTTCCACCAGAGGGTAGAATCTCCTGTGGTTTGCAGCAGTTATGGGACTGCAGTCTCACAAACCCTCTAGATACTTCCAAAATTGGAAGCTAAACAATCTCCCACAAGTTTCACCTGCTGGATTTGAGACTGGGAGTTTGAATGGTAACTGAGTTGCAACTTCACTGAGGAGGATTGTAGCTGCTATGTGATAATCAAATTTGGTTTGCTTGACACATAATGGGATTATTGATTAGACACCCGCAGCTTGTCATTTCAAATCACATCTCCTCTTCATTTCGAAGGAATGAGTGACATAGCCTAACATGCTCAGCATCATTAAATGGAAGCAGTTATTTATGGTGTGCATCAGAATTTAGCACTAATTCCCAGATCTGACAGAAAATAATCACTTTGTGCAAGGCATTTTTATCTTGCTGTTAAAAAGTGTATCAAGAGCTTTAGATAAGAACTGAAGCTGAAATGCCTTCCTAGTCTATACCTAGATGGTCTCATCTGCAAAAAAGAAGCAGGGAGTGGCAGGTCATGACTTAACACAGTTCCCGATCCTTCAGTAACTTCTGACATATTGTGGCTGATCCAGATGTGAATCGCATGTCAAAGCATGCTTATGCTGAATATCATCTTTGCAAAGTTCTCTTTAAGCCTTACTTTCCCCATACACCACTAGATAGCAGCAGCAACAGCCACGGGCAGATTTTAGTTGTCACATAATGTACTATGTAAGGCTTCTTTTAGGAATTTATAAGACATTGCTTCTATTCAAAAGGAGTGTTATTTACCAGGACAGGTTTAATGTGCTTTTATTACCTCCTCCTTTTCTTGAGGAGAAAGGTGCATGGCACCTGAAATTGTAAAGGAGAGACTGTGGAGGGGAACTGTGCTCTTGCTACTGACCTGAAGCTGTTGGATTTTTTTATCCTGAATCTCAAACATCTCTCCTTCAAAATCTCCCTCTGATAATTTGAAAGAGTTGAACTGGAATCTTGCCAGAAGCAATTATTTCAATTTAAAGTAGCAGTACATAAAATCAGACTGTTCACCCAGTTCTTTCGCAGATGTTTGTGCCATATTCTTCCAATGGAGCTAAATAGCTCTTCTGGATAAAAGTACATTTGATAGTTTTTGTGAATAGTTTCCTTGTCTTTATGACAGTACCTATGTAAGACACCACCAGCCCCACATGTGGACTTGTCTGGAACACCTCTGTAATACAGAGTCCTATTCTAGACTTCGTACTTCCAAAGTATTGTGAGGTTGGAGAATGTTTGAAGAAAACACACATGGTTAAATGAGCCGGAAAAATGCACATTATACATGGAGGCTCCAGAAACTGTCTGTTTTTGTCTCATCAAAGCAAAGATAAATGAGCAACTTCCTCATAGGCTATAATTACCTCTAAGGGATATGAAAACATTGACAATTGACAGCTTTGAGCTTGACCCTAGGAAATAACAAAATCCAGTAGTTAGAAATTGAAATCTGGAGTGGAAATCGGATACAAAGATTTAACCCTGTGGTTAACTAACTGTTGGAGTAATGATGTTCAAGTTGTGTGATTGGTGATTTTAAAGCCAAATTGTGGGGATTTGCGTATTCCTTAAAACATATACTTTTCTTCTAATACAAGTTAAAGTCTTTGGTCTGTATTCTCTCAAAGAATGGGCCAAGAGGTTTTAAGAGCTTAGCTCTTGTTTTGGCAAACAGATGTTGTGCAGGTGATAATCTTCTCTGAAAGACACCCTTCATCTTTAAGTTTCTGAAAGGGATGAGGACTGCATTTCTGAAAACACATTCCCAACTGTGGGATTTGAGACTATGAAGGACTGAGTAAATTAATTTCTCTTTCTTTCCATCCATCAGCATGGTAATGGCTCTAGAGCAAATCAGACCTTATGTTTTGAATTCTTCTGTTACTCCCTCGCTTGTATTCTGTCATGCCTGGAATTTCCACAGCTGTATTTGCATTACACCTACTATTTAGGCTTCCTAAAAATCCCACCTGCCCAAGAAGAATGCAATGTGAAGGCTAAACCTAGTCACACAGCACATCTGCAAACTCCTACATAATGGATTCATTTCTTCATGTACTCCATGAGCTCAGTTGCAATTGCTTCCTGCAGGATTATGTACTTCCACATCCCTTCTGATGTACAGCAGCTGAAAGGGGCCGACAGACATTCTTTTCCTCTGCTCAGTTTCCTTTGCTCTAAGTGTCCCTCCCCACACATGTTTTATTGTTTGTTATTTTTTGTTCTAAATAACTCCTTGGACAAAAAGGGATCATCTCCATGTTTGGTCTGGGTTCAACATCCGTATGCCTATGCAAGGCTAAGCTAAATTCATGTTTTGCGTTTGTTCCCAAACTGTAGCTGACTCTTCACTCATCTTTAAAGAAAATAGAGCTTTTCTTTATTTAATGAACTTCCTGCTTTCTGTATAGCAAAAAAAAATCCAAAGTGGGGCCATGTATATATAGTTGTATCAAGGCTAGCCAACACAAATGACTTGTTTAGACTGTTCTGTTCTTTAGATTGTACCTAAGGATCTGAGTTGAATGAAAATCGGAACTGATGCAGCTGGGCTTTCACTCGCTGTGCTCACTTATTAGTTTTCCCTTCTTTATGAATCCAGAGCCTCCATGTGATAATTACAATATCCTATCAATATTTATGTTAACCATCAAATTTTAATCCCTTTGCATCCCTTTCTTAGCAAATGCAGCGTGTGACAATATCTCCTGCATATACCTCAGCTCAATTCTAAATCTCCTATAATAAGAAACATCTGTATAATTTGTGACAAACTCTCAACATTTTGTCACAAAAATAAAATAATGACTTTTTTTAGAACAGAAATGCCCACCTCACCTAAAGTATGATATGTTTTAAAGTGGAAGCTCTGAAATCTCTGGAGATATATGGAATATGATACTGAAATAAAACTGTAGGTTTATTTTTAGGGAAACAAGGAAGAATTCAATCCCATAAACAATGAGTTATGATTCTAAGTTATTGGAAATAAATTTTGCTGTCTTAGGTAGGCAAGCTTGTTCTGCCACAAAAACTGATTTTCAATGGTCATCTGATTCCTTGAAGGAAAAAATAAATGGCATTTTAAAATTTCCACTTATGTTTTAAAAACAGGGGAGAAAAATATTTTGAAAACAGTGTGTGACAGCTGAAATCCATGGTTTTGTAGGCTTTTAGTTGTTGAAAATAATGGGAGAAAAATATCCATTTTGGAGTAAGAGGTGGAGGTCTGTGTGGGAAGAATCAAAAGTGAGATTTGCTACACTTCCACTGAAATGTGCATTCAAATATTAAGTGGCCTTAGCTGCAATTTTAATGTTATAAGTTTTACCTCTATCATAATTGTCAGAAGGTAGACCTCATTTTCTTCTTGTTAGAGGAATGCACATGTATTATAGATTATTTGCAAGGACAGCAGAGGTGTCTACAGTTGACTCCAAGCCCAGACTTTCATACCAGCCTTTTTAGTGGCCTCCAACTGGCCTAATTGTCACAGCTCTGCTGAATTGCTGGGTATAAAGTTTGCCTACTGTACCCTGTCCTGCCATGTAGCTGGAGCCTTTCTTCATGCTGTACTACTTGACTGGAAAATGGAGCCTGATGAAAAATCAATGTTTGTATGCCAAATTAGGATTTTTTTCTTCCCCATGAGTCACTTTGCAGTCTGCATTGAATTTTATCTGCTATTACATTGCGTAATCACCAAGTCTTAGATGTTCCCCTCAGCTCAGGCAGTTAGTTCATCAGGCAATCCTCACCTCTCCTGAATAACTTGGTATCATCGCTGGAGATGAGAGGACTTGCTCTTACGTGAGAGAGAACTTGGCCCAGTGTCATTGCAATGAGAATAACGTGGTAGCATAAAAAGCCAGAATCCATTAGGGTTGAACCAGCCATAAGGGCCCAGGCTGGGATCAGTGAATCTGATAGCTATAAACCAACTCTGACATGCAAATGACATGCAAAAAAAAACCTGCAAGAAACCTGACTGCCTTCCAAGCCAGCCTTAGTCATGGGAGTGGTTGAGTGACACTAACTGTACCTTCCTACATTGGAAAAGGGATTTGTTCAGTAGCATCTACGTGCATCATGTCTGGGCCACAGACAGTTGGTCATTTGGCTCCATCTTCTGGGAGAAGACGGAACCAAAGTCACCTGAGCTGACATTTTGCAACTCTTGTCACACCTAATTTATTGGTATTTTATTACTCTTCATTAATGCTTCCATGCAAACTCACAATGGATACAAACTCAGCGGGAAGCCTATTGCTTTTCTGGAGTCATTTTAATGGGAGCAAGAAGTCAGCACACAAAAAAAGTGCTGAAAATCAATAGCTTTATTGTTTTCCATGGCTAAGAAAGGACAGTTAGTGAATGTTTGACTTGCAATTTAACGGTGATAGAAAAAAGCAGAGCCCAGGTAAATGGCTCTTTGATTCCTGTACAGTTTTGTAGAATTAGCTCTGACTTTGCTTCAAGCAGCACACTATTTGTTCTCTGTTTCTGGGGCTTTGAATACAAAAAGGGGACATGGCAATTATTTTTATAGCAGCCTTCAACTGGGTGCTGTAGTTGGTCAAAACACATTATCTGTTTGGGATAGAGGTTTTGACCATCACAGTCTTCCCATGCAACATTCAGAACTGGGGGCCAGCTAACCAAGCTGCAGTCACATTTACTTACTTGGGGGATTATTTTCACGTTTCTGTTTTGTCTTTGAATTTCTCCACTGTTCCAAAATTCACAAAAACTAAAAATCTCCTCAATTAGATCTTTAAGACTTTCATCTCTGAGGGCTTTTGCTGTGTGCCTGCTGTTGCTTAGATACCTGACACGTTAGTCCGTTACTGGGGGTACCAGGAAGATCCCACAGAGCTTCCCTGCACTCTGTTTGGGCTTAGGCAAAAGCAGCAGCTGGACCACAGTCATTCACTGCATCTGTTGGTCGACTGCTTGAGCTGTGCTTGCTTCTGGTGCTCAAGATGTTGCTGAAGAGTTTATGTGGTATCTGTTGAGTGGTAGCTGGCAGGCTGTGGCTTTCACAGTGGGGTTTGCAATCCTGGGTGACAACTGTGTGTTTGGTGTGCATGCAAGCCAAGAAAGGGTGTCCCAAGGGTGAGCCCAAGGAAGCAGGTAGGTGAGGTTTTGCTTAGGTACTGAGAAGAGGTGAGTCTCCAAAATGTGTGACTCTACTAAATGCACTGGGGTGGGGGAGCAGAGGAAGGGAACTCAGGCCCATGTTGTCTCCAGCTTTACAGAACACAACCAGGCCTTTTAATGAATTTACGACAACCTGAGCAGTA